ATCGACGATGGTATTCACACAGTGCTATTGGTTGTGCACACGTCCAATCACGTAGAGCCGCTCTGTCAGTGGCGAAGAAGTGAAGCAGAGATCGACGGAGCTCGAGCCTCATTCCACAGGTCTCTAAACTTGAACACCGTTCCCGCGATGCTGGCAGTATAGCGCTTGCTTCGCAGACACGTCCCGGGGCTGCACGACGGCGCATTCCAGGCACAGATCGATGTATTCAAGAGGGTCGCCCAAGAGCATTGCGTCTGAACTATCGACGACCTCAACTATCGGCAACGTCATGCTGATCAAAAAACAAGCAGTATGCCGGTAAAGTGTGGTGTAAATCGTAGAAGCGCAGGTTGTCGAGGAAGAGACCAAGTCCTCGGACCGGCGTCTATTCCTCCCGCACCTTCGCCTTCGACGACTGGCGACAACCGCGCGCTGCTCTGACTCGACTGGCGACGCCCGCTCAGGGTCTCTTGCTTGTTGATTTAGCTTGCCACGAACTGCGTATAGGGTATGCCTGGCATAGGAGCTCTCCCTGTGCACGACATCCCTGCCTCACAAAACGCGCGTGCACGCAGTTGACCATGCAGATTTTTTATATTCGTTGGATGTACAACAGAGATGAACACTTCGTATGGCTATCGTGGTGAGTACCTTCGTGCAGAACACCGCGCTTCCAGAACAGCTTAAGCGCAAAGCCGTCCCGTTGTCGCCTTCACATTTCTTCCTGCGTGAAGCCTTCTGCTGCAACGATCGGTGCATAACGGCTTCTGCAGTCTGCAAGCGGTCTTCAGATCACCCGCAGACTGTCGAGAGACCCGCGCATCGTTAGTGGGTCGTGACACGACGATACTCAACAGTATGCACGGCGCTGTACCATTCTGGCAATTTAACTGGCATGCGCTACCGCGTGATGGCAGAGATTATAACTGATTACAGGCGCTTCTCTTGGAAAAGGAACATCTATGTGGAGCAACGACGGCACATCATCATGATGACCGAAGTTGGGTCAACGCGCCAGACAACGGCCTGAGTGATAAAACGCACCTTGTTGGACGCTTGTTCGAGCATTGTTCGATTCTCCGTCTGCAGCCGCTACCGTGGCTGTGTTCAATCGACTGCACTTGGATATGGAACGACAACCATAACAAAAACAAATGTGCCACTCAGCGATGACGCACTCTTATGTGTCGTCTCGAGGACCCAGCGTGCCGGTGTCTGAGGGCTGTATAGCACCTGCATCAGGGCTCACTGCTGACGAATCAGGAATGCGACGGGCAAACTCATCTATCCTAGTGCTTCGCATTGTGTCGAGACTTTCGCCAGAGGGTAGCCTTGCTCTGAGCGACGGGGCGCAGCGAGACTGTCGTCGCTGTCTGTAGCGCACCGACGTCAGAAGGCGAACGGATTACGAAAGACTCACGGGTGTTGGCGCACGTTGGTTTCCCCGTCGCGAGCGTTGAAGCGGGTACTTATGCCGAGGGCCACGCAAAGGCCTGTGCCATGCCTCGGGGCCTTCGTCCCGTCCGCTTGAAAAGAGCATATTTGCAGGGTTCTGTTGAGTCTTCGCCCCATCCCGATCATTGGAGGGCGCCACTTTTGCGGGGGACCCTTCACTCCATCCCGATCATTGGAGGGAGACACTCTTGCGGGAGCATCGTCAACCCCTTCCCGATCTTTGGAGGGTGACATTTTCAGGGGAGACCAAGGTCCTGATAGTGACGCGATGCCCCGATGAGTGAGCGATCCATGGAGATGTGCATGGCATGGCGTACCTAGGTTCTGGTCCACGGTGCTGCATTTGTGATCAAAGTGAACTAGGCAATATGAGGGTGCGGAGCAGGTGAGTGAGAGCCGAGACTATTGAGATGGTGACGCACATACTCGAGTCTGTATAGAGTACTAGACTATCAAGATCAGTGACCCACGCCCACACATCCCGACAGTGCCCTCGTGAGGACGTTTTCAGCTGTGGCGTCCACGCTGACAGCGACAGTGACAAAGAGGACCGAACTGGGCACGATGATCAGCAGGCAGGCAGTGGACGAGTAGCAATGCGACGCACCACACGTGCACACCTATCATTAGATGCGACGATTACGCCACTCAACCATGGTAAGGGCGACGACGACAGTGAGGAAGAGACATCGGATACGGAAGGACAATGCAGGTGAGTACTCATCACCCACGACGGGCGACAAGAGGAGCCTACCTGATGGTGATGGTTGGAGGTCAAGGAGCACAATGGGAGAGAGCGACGGGTGCGGGCTTTATAGCATGCGGCGAGTGTGTCATTGTTTGTGTGTTGTTGATGGTGTCGGCGGAGGGCGGACGGTCGTTGGGTATGGCATGTTCAACATTGCCCTGATCGTCGACATCGGGTGAGATCCCGATCAGGACTGCTGCGTATGTTGAACGGTCCTTGACGCATTGCGCTGCGTCTGCGATACACCTATCCACTGCCCACAGCCCTAATTCCTGTGCAGATAATAGCATATTTGCACAGAATGCCAGTTGTCGATGTCGATGAAGGCTATTGTGCCGTCGTCGGGGACCTGTCAGTCCGCGATCAGCGAGTGCCACGTGATCGCGTTTGCGTGGACAACCAGACTGTCGCTGGTATTAATGTCGCCCAATAGCACAGATATGAGCTACATATGTCTTCGTTTGGGCGATTCACTAACTCGCGCTCTGTGACACAAGGCACCGCGGGGATCTTGTTCGCCTTCCCATTGCCTCTCGGAGTTGAAGCTTGCGCGGTAAGATCCATTTGACCGAGGCGCGTAACAGATCTGACGAACAATTGCTATGCACAGCTTCAACCGATGCGAGATCGCCCCAACATATCGGACGGCTAATGCTGCCGCGTGATGAACTCAAACTGACGTTCGCAGGTCACGCTAGAGGCGTTCCATTCGTGCTACGATACGAAGAATACAATAATAATCGACGACGTAGACCCGCAGTCGGTATGACTGTCTAACCCAAGTTCATCAGCATCCACAGAGTCTCAGGCAGTGGCAGCGGAAATACGCACAGCAGGAGTGTCTTAATACACCTTACTTGCTCTTCGGTGGCTCAGCACAGTTGCACGCCGGGTAGGTGCAAGAGCCGCCGTTGGCCTGGACATTGGCGCACTTGACGGTGTCCTGCAGTCGATCACGGTCAGTGTCCCCAGCCTGTCACTGAAGCATATGACGGTGACTCACAGACATGTTGTTAAATTGAGGTGTGTAGTCGATGACTGGGGAGGAGGGACGCGACGAAGGTTACTTATGTACCTTCGTGCGCGAGGTTCACATGTAATGTGCGCTGTGCGATTGGCCCCCACAATGCTGAATCCTGTGCGGATGATTGGCCACCGAGGCCGATGCCTCGGAGGGAAGCACACGGATAACCACACTTTTATCAGCCACCGTGACAGGACCCGGGAGCCGGGGCGGTCGTGCTTCCTCGCTCCATCAGTCGCTCTCGCTTTATGTGCCCTATCAATGGAGGTTGGCTGTGCCAGATGACATGCCATGGAGAAATGCTTGGACACCGCGAGTATCTTCTCATCACGGTGACTGTGCGCGGATCCTCTTGTGTGGTGAGGCATCGCTGAACATAGTCAATGAGCGGAGCCGGTTGCCTATGTGCATTTCATGATAGGCCATTGGAAGCCTCACGCGGGAAAATGCCTGGATAGATGAACCACAAAGTTAGCATACCATATGGTTGATACAATTCTCCTCTCTACGCCCGATCCCGCGTTATTCCTTGTCAGCGCAGTCATGTTCCTAACCACGAACCAGGTGGGGCTGTTGTAAAATTATGCAGAGAAATGATTTCGTATGTGTACGACGATTGCAAGGAATTGTGGAACCAACGTCGCGTCGTTTTATCGTACAAACTAATTTCCGCGCAGGTTTCCGGTGTGCAGATGTTCACAGCTCATTCTTCGACACTTTCGCGCCCGCGTCCTTCAGTTTCTGCCCGCCCTCCTGCATCCCCTCGCCTGTCCTCTCTCTCGCGTGCTCCGCGCTTCCTGTCAAGACATCGAGGACCTGGTTGCGCCACCACGATGTCAGTATGGCCTCGCCCACGTATGTCAGGGAGAGAAAACGAACCTTTCCGAACCTGTCCTCTTCAGCTTCGACACCGCCGTTGAACACGGCCTTGACATGGCCGAAGAGTGCCTCTGCGCGCCCAGTCGTCTGTACGTAGCGAATGCGCACCTCTTGCAGCAGACCCGGACGGCTCGTTGGGAGCGCGTCCTCTGACAGGCTGTGTTCGCGGAGGTATGCCCGTAGACGTGCGTCGGGCCAGACATCGTACGGTGCCGTACGTGCGCTGTACTCAGAGTATCTGACGACACCTATCAGTGCATTGGACAGGAGATGAGGATCATAAATCTACGCGCACTTGTCCTGCATCAGCTTCACAAGCTGGTCGTGCGTCTTCTACGCGTCGCTGCGGATGTAGCCGTGGTTGACAAGCCATGCCTTCATGGCCGAGCCGCATGTAATATCAGCGCCATGCATAGTTCATGCTGCAAGATGCTTTCCAACACGATGTTGGAAGGGGCTCCGTCGACGTAGTTCATATTGCGCCACACTTTGTGAGTGTCAAGGTCATGCGTCGCGCGCCTATCTGTCATCTGTCATGAATGCCTTTGTGTGAGTCAAGAGACATACTTGTTCGCACCCTCCTCTGCAGCATCATAATGATAGTTCCGTTACTCGGTGTACAGACTTTGAAGTATATGACGCGGCGATGTATTTTTAGTCAAGCCTGCAAATCACGAATATTGGTCATGATTGTTCGTTCTGTATCGGATTCCTTACGCGTTTGTTGGTAACAAGCTGGATTATACATGAATCTACTTCCGTCGCCTTCAGTTCCTATTCCATCCAAGAATATAACAAAGGCCCTACTATAGTTACAATGCTTACCTGTCTTCAAAACAGCTGCGTCTTGAGCGTGGCTGTGTTCGGTTCCCGTTCATGCATCCTTAAACATCATCATCATCCCGAGCAATTACTAGGGATATATCTCACAATAGACTCCCTCCTGCGTACGCGATGTTGCGGAATGAACTACGCACATAAGGGCGCCACGGCGTTTCTCCCCTCTTGTGCTGTTCGTCTTGTCACCGCGCGCGGGCGTTTTGCATATAGCGTCTCCGAAGTGCAGGTTCAGACTCCTTCCGCCCCGAGCCCGAAGCCTCAGACAGAAGTTGAACGAGGACTGAGCCTGTCGGGAAAATGCAGTAGGTTCAGTTCGAGCTCAGTCTAGGTTCGAACCGCTGTCACACTCATTGGTAGAAGAGACAAATGCATTTCTATAGCGATAATCAATGTTTCTGATGACCCTTCCGGCCTTGGGTACAATGTCCTGCTCCGCTCAAATGGCACCTGCACAGTATGCACCCCTCATATTCTACAATGCTTCGAATGTTGCGGGAGCTGGCTGATTCCGATATTCAGTTCTCATCCTACCGCCACCTGAGAATGCTTTCTCCAAGGACATGACTGAGCCCTAGAAGCCGAGACAGTCCCTTGCAACTTTTAAAAGCACGAGTATCAAGTTCGTTTGATCCTACACCGTGAACAGTGCTGTCTGGCATCCCAGAGCAAAATGTGCTTCATCTGCCTGGGATAACGCACCTTTCACTCGGGATGTCGTACATGCTCTGGCACAGTGCATAATGACATACCTCAAAGGCCATGGAGTGAGGGGCAAAATCGACCTCGGGCTACTTCACTGGCTTGGACTGATACGTGCCGGAGAGAGATTGCTCGCCTGGCCACAAGGTCCTTACCAACAGGATAGTATCCTCAGCGTATTTATACAGCACAACACGAAAGCGACCATGACGCACAGCGATGATCCCCAAACACTGGAACACGTGGAGGTACACGACACGATGTTCTCCGTGGACCATTCGTGCAGGATATTCTGTAACGTCCATGAGCGTTCGGCTGCATGACGAGGTACCTGCGTCTTGCTACGTGCCGGACTCTGACACTTGGATGTCTACAATGCTACAGTTCCGCAAACTCCGTCAGCATATCGCACATGCTCAGGACGCGGACGACAGGTAGACGATTTCCAAGGGCGACTCACCGAAATTCCTCGACGATGTCCTGCGCGACAGCAACCTCTAAAGCCCCCACGAGATCAGGCATCTCCATACCACGCGATAAGAGCTACCGAGAGACGGAGCGACTCCTCCTTACCCGCAGTGCGACCGAAGGATTTGTTGCAACATGCGATCATTGTATGCAAACGAAGATGGCGCACGGCAGGCGAGAGGATCTATGGCTGAAACGACGCATATAGAGAGCAGTATTATCGCACTACGTGTTCAGGCGTGTCCTTCGTGCGCCGCCCGCACTAGAACGATCGTACATCATGGCAGAGGTGGCAGGAGTCAGCAGAGCCGGCGGTGACGAGAACTCTAAGGAATCGCGTAAACTTCAGGAGAAAGGAGTCAAGGACAGAGCGGCACAGGACACGATTGCGAAAGTCGATCGATTGAGCGTCCCGGCGGCTCGCTTTCATCTTCCCTCCACACACCTCTCTACTCGCTGCCCCTCAACTTGTTTTCTTCATTAATGTCCATCAAGCTCTTCTCTGAAGTATGATGCTGCGCTTTCACGCATCACAATCGCGCGTTCTGCTGCTCCCGTGTTTCTGCCCTCGCTGGCTACTCTCGAGGTCGGATACTCTCAGAGATGGGCACCTTCAATGAATTGGACAGACCTATCTATCAGCACGGAGAGCTTGTGCCGTATGGTGTGAGTCGGCAGTTGTTGTAGTTTGGGCTCGTCACCATGGTATGTCGCATGCCTTCTAGCCTTATGACGTGTTTTCGGTGTCTGCCTTCCGATTCTCTTGTGGAATCCCTCTTCAATTGAGATTGTACGTCTACTCTTCGCATGCGAATGTACTGCACGATGTTGCAGAGCATCATCTACCAGTGCTTCACAGTCAGCTGGCCCCGCCGCTGCACCGAGATCGTTCGTCTTCCCTTCCGCGTCCACTGACCTTTCGACTACACACATCAACAGCCGCTATAGGCTGTATCCCACCCAGCGTTGTCATTTTTTCATCACTTGCGTTTTGACCCCTAGCTGGGCACTCAATGGTGACAGGATATTGTATGACCATGTCGCCACAGGCGATGCAGCTCTGCGTATGTTGCTGTAAGGCGGAGCGTGTGATTCCAAGGTGTGACGATAGAGAGCCAGCAGGACATTCATCCCGCGAGTGCGGGCACCCCGCTGATACTGCACGCGCATGTACGAGTCAACCTCGAGTCTGTAACTGATGCCTCTTCTCTTCTGGCTTTCCCAGCCTCTGCGCGCTCGTGCAGGAAATCATTAGAAAAGTTCGTTTGACGCTATCATAGCCTACTGAGCGCGTTCTCATTACGACCGCGTATCTACTCTGCTCAATCGCACACCGCCCCGTGTCACCGACTACGCTAGCAGCGCCATTGAGTCGCATAGACGAGCGACACTCCCAGTGTTTCTCCCCACCCCGGAAGTATTCTCTGCTCAGTAGCAGCGAGATCGTCGGTCTTTGCAAAAGAGTTCATAACGAGCCTCGCACAAGCTCGAGCAGGATCGCACCAGTGTATATCGATGCGGGAAGCGTTATCAAGTGAAGGCGGAGATCACGAGCAGCACTCGGGTATGTTTCCGTGTCTATCACGCATGAGAATGTTACACAGCATACACGAAACGATGCTGTCTATTGTCGGCGGCCGACCTACAGGCGCATAGGTATCGGTATACAAGGTACGTATTCTTGGCCACATTATCCACATATCCCGAGCTTGGCAGGCGTCCTAAGGGCGCAAGCTCGCAAACGCGAGCGCCAGCATTGACCTCGATCAAAGCAGAGACATCGGCGACAGTCGGTTCAACTTAGATGATATACAACGCTCGCGGACAGTGCGTAGCTGCATATATGCAGATCGTCATCGAACCTGATAGATCACTAAGCCCGGTGCCGAGACCAAACAACGTGTTGAGTACAGTATGTGAACAATAATCAGCTCTGGCGAGCAGTAGTAATCGCTTCCAGTTATCGCGGTCACTGTTGTGCCTCTCCACTGCTACCGTTAGTAGGAACGCCGGTGCTTGGCTGTGGCTGCGGCGGCTCCTCGGTTGGAGTCGACTGAGGCCCTTGTGCGCCGTCCGTTGGTGGAGGACTGCGACCATCTTGTAAGCAATCGGAGCAAAATGAAGGAAAGAGAGAAGGGTCACCGGTTTTCATGTAATGTGTTAAAGAGATTCCGTATCTTCTTTATATGACTGTGTATGTCGTCATAGACATTATTACGGGGACACCGTGCAGCGCATCCTGCCAATGCGTCGATGAACGCTTTCGTGAAGAGGCTGGCATCGTACTCGGCAAGGCGCGCACATGCTTGGCAAGTGTCAGCAACATTCAACCATGTCCTGGCTTGACCGCCCTCCTGAGACTCAAATTTTATGTTGTTTGGGCTGAAGCATCCTTCTACAGCTACCAACGCTTGTTGAATGGCCTCGCGAACTTGAGCCAAGTCAGATGGAGAGAGATTCGCAGCATTCTTGGATGCGAACCAAAAGTATCGCAAGAACTGTCTGATGCTGAGCTCTTCATTAGCGGTCGGAAGAAGGTCGAACATCTTTCGGACAGCTACCGTGGTGGAATGAGTCAGCTGTGGAAAGGGTCTGGGGCAGGATACGTACAGTTTGTGTCGATGCGGTTACCGTCATTAAATCTCGAATAGTACTCAACGACGAGTGGAGCAATGTGGACGCGTATGTTATCAGCGAGGCCCGTATCTTCCCACATGTCCATGAGCCTGTTGTAGACTGCGGGCATCGTACTCGGCATGGCATACAGAAGATTGCCAACGCGCTCGAATATGTGCCCTATGTTCTCTTTGCGCTCTTTGTCGCCCATACCCACGGATACAATCTTGTCGTACATGCCCAAAGACATGAGCCCTAGCGTGTGGACAGCTTGATGATCTTGTTCTTCGGGCCACCATTCTGGTGCTTTGTTTTGATGACGATCGTGCGCTCGGTGATCCAGGATCTCGTAGAATGCAGGAAGCGCTTCCAAGACCCCAGCTTGCTGCAAACAGGGTTGGACAACAGTGCTGAGGAATGTTTCGTCCATAACACATGCGTCGGCCTTGACAAGCATGTTCAGTTTCTTTTCGACGTCGTCCTCCAAGGTCTGCATACAGAAGTTGTCCAGCTGTCTCCAGCCGCTCAAAGGAGGCAGATCCCGTATGATTCGCCAATTCTCCTGACAGCAGCAGTTCCAGATCTTGCGTAATACATACTCACGCCCTTCTGCCTCAGCAAAAAGATTAGCTTTCTCCAGCCATTGCATAGCCCATCTCCAAAAAAGGAAGAACCACCATGCCTGCGCCGATTTATAAGGGCAGTCGGGTGAAAAGGATGGGATAACGGATGTCGCGATGGTCGGCACAAGGAGAAGAATGATAAGGGCCGTTGCGACTCCTGCCACCACAGTACTGATGGTCCAAAGGAGGATGTCGACGCCGAGGAGGAAGAGAACAAGAGCAAACTGCAGCAGAAGTGGCAGAACAGCTACAGCTTGCTCGACACCCCAGCGCGTCAATCCTCGACGGCGGAAAGACCACACTCGGACGCTCCGCTGAGATGTTTTGGAAGCACCATTGATGTGGTGGTGCAACCATTGACCGATGGACAATGCTATTGACGCGGCACCAAGACTGAGAATCAGCGCAGCGAACCACAACACGGCGACAGCAACGATGGTAGACGATGGTCCAGAAGAGGACTGAGAGTGGGCGGAGAGTTTTATCAGCCACTTGGCGATGGTGGCGTGTCCCGCATCAGCCGCGACGACACTGAGTTGGCCGGACATGGAGATGAGTGTCTGGGTGACGGCGAGGGTAACATAAAATGGCACGATGAACCCGGTGAGGACGGTGGAGAATAGACCTGACTTGAAGATTTACCCTGTCAGCATATGGGCTACAGGAGGTCGAAAGCAACAGCGACGGTCTACGTATCGTGTTGCCGGAAATGACACTTACAAATAGCAAAAGGTTATTTATTTCCTCCTTCCATTTCTGCACCAACGACTCCTCGAACTCCCATACCTCCTTCGCGCATTTCGCCCATGGGTCCTCTGGTTTGCGTTTTGCCTCGAGAGCATCCTGTAGCACCTTCCTCACTAGTTCTTCGTTGAGCTTTCCATCTGCAGCGATCTTTCCCGGGTCATTGTTATCGGACGGGGCATGAGTGGTGAGAAGGCTATCGGGTCCTGGAACCATCCCCTCGGCCTTGCTGACCTCTCCATTATCGCCGTTTTCCATTCCCTAAAATTGTTCGATACTGTAGACACGCTTGCGGAAACGTAGCTCACCTGCGTGGTGTTACCGTTTTCGACAGCTTGGCGGGGAAGCATCGCCTCACAAACCTCTTGCTGTCCCGGTACTGATGTCGCCTGGAGCGAAGCATTATGCATTCAATCGATCATGATAACCATTCCTGATTAGTTGGCTCACATCTGCGCCACGAGAAAGCTCTCCATCGCGATTGACGACTTTTATTTCTTTCAAGGGTATAGATTCGCCCATCCTCTCACTGGCACGTGCTCGGGTAGTTAGCGTGGGTCCCAGCGCTTCGGCATTGCCCGAACGGCCGTTAGACCGCGATCGAGACTTTCTGGATCCGCTGCGTCTGCGTCTTCCTGTCATCACTGGATTTGAGGATTGTTAGAGTGTCAGTGGCGCGTAGCGAGGAACGAGAAATGTCAAGATATGTGGTTGAGGACCTTATGAGGTTCAATATTGTTCTCGAGCGCCGGTATGGAAGCGAATCCCTGGCAAAGCTCATCACTGCAGGATAGAAGCCGATTAAGTTTGGGGAAGATAGTAGAGCTCAGGATGTAGATTGCTCAGCTTGAATTGGTACATGCAGCCAATGTCGTCGCCGCGTTGCATATGTCGCTCGGCTTGATGATTAATTCCAAGATGCCTTGGGGTTTTGTCTAAAATTCCTTGAGTGTCTCAAGTACATACGCCAGTAGAGCTGAACGTTTGTTCGTGTGTCCGTTCGCACGTCTCATGCCTCATGTATGCAACCACATAAAACCTTGTTACATTGCACTTCCACCGCGACATGTGGCCAACGCTGCGCATTGTCCGATTGGACATCCCAGTTTGCTTCCAGACAAACGAGACGGCATCGATGCGTGCGCAGCTCAGCGCCAATAAGCACATATGATAACAACTGTCCGGATACACCATCGAGCCGGTCGTCCGCTTGGTATACAAGGCGAGCCAGATAAGCCCTGGCTCGGTGCCAACCGTCGACGCTATGACAGTCTAATGAATATGTCATCAAATGCATTTAAGAGCAGCATGATTACAGTGCGCATCGATGGATCAACGCGCACAATAATAGACGGACGTATAGGAAGCTCCGTCACTTCCTGATTTCCATGCGGCGGTGTGGAAGAGGAACCTACGCCTCTTCGTGCCTGCCTGCAGGAATCCAGCAGGCATATGGACAGGGAGGAGAGTGGAAGAAAACGACATCATCGATCGGAGTATAATAGACGCGATGCGGAGCGCGAGATCCATTTGAAGATGTAGTCTTCGAACTGTTAGAGCTAGAAAATTCGGCATAGCGATATGTAATATATTGTGCCTTTCAAATAGAAACTTGTCATGAGCAGTGGACGTACCTCTGAAAACGATTGGAATGTAGGCGGAGTCTCTTCCCAAACATCGCGCAGGCGCGGAGATATTGAGCATGATTCCTGCTATGCATCCCTCACGCAAGATGCCCTATGACTTTCTCACGCGATGATACTAACCAGCGAGACATCTCTGCATCAGCTATGACAGTCAAGGGCTTACAGGTACGTGTTATCGTGGGGCTTGTAAGATACGTCAGCGTTCATTATATGCACGACATGTACCAGAGGGGCATAATTGTCTAAAGATTACTCACCGAGAACGTTTTATGCCATCTAAGAGAATTCCTTCGGGAAATAACTTTGCTGCCGCGACAACGAGGACATCCACATAGCGTAGTATCTCGACAGGTCCTGCCGGTGACGGTCTGAGCACAGCATATGTCCTGGAAAGGAGGACGGCAACACGCGAGAATACGTCTCCAAATGCGATGGAACGTCCAAACGCTCCGCACGTAGCAACCTCGGAGACCTGCACGTAAAGCCTCCAGCGTTCAGATAGCTCGAGCACACAATGAGAAAAGTAGGATAGCGGGATGAGCATACCTCGCGCTTCTTTTCCAACACACACATTCGTGAGGAGCACATACACGAGGAATACTGTTCAACGTGTGACTCGCATGAAAGAAGAATCCTGAACGAGGCAGCGGAACTTGCTTAGCGCTGATATGTGTAGGCTGTCATGGCATTGCTTGCTGACGATACAGCCAGCAAGAGGTCCTGCATACGAGGCTCTGGTAGGATCTCCGCTAGCAACGGAGATTGTGAAGAGGTCGGAGAGCGCACAACAGATGGCTTATAGGCAGCACGATCCATTCGTAACTCTCCATATACAGGCGCTAGCAACCAGGTTGATATCAAGGCGCATACAGCTTACGTGGGTGTAGGTGGTAGGTGATGAGTTTTATCACGACGAAGAGAATAGCCGAGTAGATAGCTCGAGCAGCAAGCGGAGGTGATATAAGTGATTCGTGAAGGAGATTGCGTACCTGTGCACTGAGAGACCTATATTGGATGAAATTCATCCGGTGAAATGTACGGTATTCGTGTACTTTTCACACGCAGAGCGCATGTGTTTTCATCCGGACAGTGGCATTTTCATCCAGCGAGAGTGCGAAATAAGAGTGTGAAATTCATCCGAAATTTCGAACAAAGTGCACCCCATTCATCCGGCGCTGGATTTTCTGGATTCATCCGGATAATGGGTGAAAACTCCATCGCGACGGATGAATTCCACCAGTAAGAACACGAGCAAAACCCTCGTCATAGCGAATGAATTTCAGCAGTAGTGAGAAACAAATGTTTCCAGCAAATAGCTGAGTAGATCGGCACTCGAGCCCAGGGTAGGATACATCAGTCAGAAAACATATATATCATCTATCAATACGCATATTACAGGGTTCTGTCATGCAAACATTCAATCGCTATCTTATGCGTGAGCTTGAAGCCTCTATCCTTGCCATCTCAAACCGC